TTTACTGACTGCTCCTTAATGCGGTTGATATCCGTGCCGGACTCAGAGAGCTTGTGAGGAGACTGTTTGCAGGCTATTATGTTTAAAAATATCTGCATATCCACTGAAGCAGTGTGTCGATAACAATGTGATCTGCAATTATGATTGGGTGAGGATGTAATGTTGAGTTAAACAGTAATAATAGAAAGAACTTAGCGACAGTTTGCAAGTTAATCAGCTGACCTCACGGGATAGTTATCAGTGGTTGGTTGGTTGGGTTCAGTAACTTTCAAAGAAACTCTCGTTTCGGATCAAAAATCGTTGAGAGGTTTGTAAACTTGCGAAGAAAGCCCACTTATCAAGTGTTCTCTCGTATGGCTTGTAGACTTTAAAGCGCCAATTTATGACTGATTATCCCTCGAAGGCATTCCTGAACTGAGGCATATTTGATCTCACAAATTAGCGAATAAAACCGGTGACGATTTCTGCATGTTTGTAGAACAGATCAATTATGTTGAAAGGAAAATAAAACGAAGTGAAATCTTACAGTTGAAGCTAAGAACGTGACAGAACACGATAAAAGAGTTCGGAGTTTCATTAGTAGCTTTGTATACTACTATTTATGTAATAACCCAATTGTTATTCTTCCATTTTGATTGGTTTTCGCTTATGATCTATTAGAGGACAGACGCACGATTGACGTCATCATTACAAAGATTTCCCTCTGTGTTTTAAAATGGCGGAAAGTTTTGGTAATGTAGATAATAATTTACGCAACTGGGCGAAAGAAAAGATACAAAAAAAGTCTTGTCGAGGCGTTGAACAGTACGAGAAGCAGGAAGAAGAAAGAAAACGCCGTTTCGTTTTTAGAAAATGACTCCGAAAAATATTAAGTTGGCAGTCGAGCGAGACTAAACCAAACATGAAATTGATCTTGAAATTACTTTAATGTGAGAAACCATTGCTTTGTCCTGAATTAAACGCGGCAAAAACAATAAAAATAATGTCTATTAGATTAATGTGTTTAAAAAATTCAACATTCCTCAGTCTCAAAATAATTGTTGACACAGATTGAAGTCAGTCAGGAATGAAACATCAAAACCTCACTTCTTAGGGACCAGGCATTATTTATCACCGGGGGGGAGGGGGGAAGGGAGGAGGATTTTGAGGGATCATTGGATTTTTAGGATGACAGAAGGGGGATCAGTGATAACTGAGAGGCCAAAAAGGGGATCATTAAATGTCACATGCCCATACAGACTTGGTGGACGGCTATTCAACACTCTAAAAAGTAACTTTGCAGTTTCCAAGCACTTGGGATGGTTAGTTGCTAGTATGTCAACTGACATCAGTCACAGGGTTCTCAGAAGAACTGTAAAATCAAATGTAGCCACCTGTTCTGGTCATTAAAATTTGTACACGTAATTTTAACAATAAATTGAGACTTACAGAGTGAAACGTTTCAAGAAGAAAATAGTATTTAAAAAGGTGAAACAGCCCTACTTGGTATATCTAATCTTATGATCATAAGCAACTCCTTTTCCGTAACACTTTGCCCCCAAAATGCATGAAATTGCATCTTTGGCAACTTACAATTTTCCGAGGGGCACACCCAGGACCCCCTTAGGTTGCCTTGCCCCCTCGGGCGAATCGGGCCTCGCTTTAATTTGTGCCGCATGTCGTTATGCGTTATTGGACGCCTGGGAAAACTTCTATTAAGAACCCTAATCGGATATCGGGAAGACAATAGCTATGAGGGGGATACTTCAGAAAAATAATATTTAAAGGGGCGATCAGCTAAATGTTACTGTCTTTAGCCGAAAATCCTCCACCACCCCCCATGCGATAAATAATGACAGGTCCCCTAAAATCTATTAAAATAAACACATAACCTTGCTTTTCAACGCGAATGCTCCAGTCCGTTTCAGGGCACAGCAGCGAGCAAAGTAGAGCTCACTACAACTTACGGGCAACTGTGTCACAGCTATAAAGTGTCTCTGACACTATATCAAACTGATATGAGAATCACCAACCACAGGTCTAGAGGACACAAATTTCCACCGTCACTAATGCTCCTTTCATTCAAAACTCGAATCGAATGCCCTCAGGTGTTAACCGCAACCGCAAGTTTTCCTGGCAACCTCCAAACTTTTCAGCTCAAAGGGCTGCTCTGATGACAAAAACTGACTTGACGTTTCCAGCATTGTGGATTTCGCTATAGATGGCGGATGGTGTGTGTCCATCATATTTGACGTTGCCATGGACACCGCAAATTTCACGTAGCCAGAAATCAACGTTTTTGACATAATTCTGTATTTTTTCAGTTTTTTTCACCAAGCTCACTGAATTCACCAGTTTGCACATTTCATAAGCATTCTGACTTGGTTTTGTAATAATTTCCGTTATTTCTTGACTTTTAAGGAAACAGTAAAATCTAAGGTGGTGGATGCAATATGGCGGGTCAAATGACATTATTTGACGTCATATGACGTCGCAACCAACAAATATGGTATCGTTTTGTAGCACAAGCTCAGGGCTACGTAATCAACGTAAACTTATTTCGCTGCGCCTTAACAGAGCTAAAACTCAGGGGATGTCCATCCACCCCCCCTCCCCCCCCCCCTCCCCTTGTACCAGGCTGAGGTTTTGAGTTATTAGCTTGTAAGTCCGAGGATTAATTAACCGCTCAAAGAGTTGGTGAATTTAGTTATTTGGTTTTGTAATCCACCAAAAGTTTCACAGGCAAGCAAAACAGCTCGGCAATATCGAAAGAGGAATAAGAATAAAAATAACTTTATTCAGCCTTATCACACCTGTATGTTATCTACTTCCTTTCGGCAAGGGTTGCCGCTGTCTTGGATAAATCGTGATAAAATTGGGCTCAAGCAAGGTATAGAAATATGAAAGTTTTGGACTATCATGCATTATTCATTCAGTACAGTTGAGTATATGATTACTGCAATCATTCCGAGGTCCAATAATATTGCTGTTGCAAATCCAATACTGTACGATTTATCATTCAGTTCTACGGTCTTAGACAACTCCGTCAAAATATGACACGCAGTACTCCAGGTTAGCACAGGCTTCTAAACTGTCACTGGATTTAAATCTTCTCGATCATTGTTAGTAGCTGTGACAGTGAATCTTAGTAGTGGTTCGTCTAACGGCTACACGAAAGTCTCGGAGTCGCTAGCAATAGAGGATTGGGTTCAAAGAGGAGTTTAAAAATATAAGAGTCTGGGCGAATTCTGTTGCCGAGGCTCTGAGGGCGGTGGTTTTGTAGCCGTCTCTGAGAATAAGGAAGACAAAATATTGAATATAGCCAGAAGCATATCACCTATACGCTTCTGATATAGCAGAATGAGTGACTCCGGCAAACGTAAAACATATTCAAAGCTGACTTGGTTTGCTGCAAGATTGTGTGCTTTTCTTGGCCCAGTTGTTTGGAAATTTTCTTACGATGAAATCGAACAATCGTGAAGATTTCAACATAGATTACAACGGTAATAAAAAGGCAGGTGGCTAAGACGAGAAGTGCGGCGAAAAAATGTAATGCTTGCCTTCCACAGGAGAGTTGATGCTACCAGGACTGCGATGATCCACAAACTCCCAAGAAGTCGAAATGTTCGACCCGTTGTCACTAATTCGCGGTACCGTAAATGAAGATGGAGAGCGAGATATCTGTCGATACTTACCGCTGTCGTGGTGAGAAAAGAAACACCACAGAACAAATTTGAAATGAC